ATAACAGATCCGAAACCTAGATCTTTAACACAGCTCCCAAGACACAGTACCCTGCTGGATTTCTCGGCTGTAGAGTTTTCGGGAATCTGAAGTTTGGGCTTTTGGTGGTTCATATTTAGTGGCTTCGTGCGATCCAAACCCGAAGAGAAACCTTAAAAAGAAGTAGAATGCCCAGCCTTCAAAGACAACAGATCAGGAGATGATTTGCCGCTGGCACTGGCGACTTCCAGCGAGACCGACTCTGGGCATGACTCAGGTGTTGGGCTCTGGGGTGGGGCCTCGGAAGCTTGGTTCTTCTGGGCATCGGGGATTTCGGAAGCTTCGTCTATCGTGGCAACTTGTGGGACCTCGGATGCTTTGTCTGCCGGGGCAACTTGTGGGACCTGGGAAGCTTCGTCTGTCCTGGCAACGGTGATTTCGGAAGCTTTGTCTGGCGTGGCAACTTGTGGGACCTGGGAAGCTTCGTCTGTCCGGGGAACGGTGATGTCGGAAGCTTTGTTTGGCGGGGCAACTTGTGGGACCTGGGAAGCTTCGTCTATCGAGGCAACTTGTGGGAGCTCGGAAGCTTCCTCTGTCGGGGCAACTTGTGGGATCTCGGAAGCTGCAGCTCTTGCCGGCGTGGCCACGGGTACTGAGCGAAAGGCCCCTTCTTTCGAGCATGAGCTTTCCTGCTCCACAAGAGCTAGGTTACTGCAAGCACCTCGTCGAATAAAGCAAGCTTCACCCGCTTCGAATGCTTCAAGCTCCTGAAACAACTCCTCATTCAGGACGTCTCCGTCTGCAACGATGGTCTGCTGGGTGTCCATGTGCTTCACACCTGGGCTGCATTGGCTGGGGTGTGAAATAGGATGTGGTCGCTATTGAATTGAAGGCTTCGTGTGGATTGCTTTGTAGGATTATTTCTGCTGGCTGCGAAGTTTCCCAAAGCCGACAGCAATCCACTTATAATTACCGGTAAGACCCGAGAAGCCCAAAGCCCAAAGCCCGAACAGCTTCCACAGACAATCCCCAATAGTTGCCACTAGGACCCGAGAACCCTAAAGCCCAAAGCCCGAACAGCTTCCACAGACAATCCCCAATAATTGCCATTAGGACCTGAGAACCCTAAAGCCCAAAGCCCGAACAGCTTCCACCAACAACCCCCAATAATTGCCTTTAAGACCCCAGAACCCTAAAGCCCAAAGCCCGAACAGCTTCCACCAGCAATCCCCAATAATTGCCATTAAGACCCACGAACACTAAAGCCCAAAACCCCTAGCAGCCCTAGCACCTCACACCAGCAATCCCCGCTAATTGCCACTAAGACCCGGGAACCCTAAAGCCCAAGAGCAAGAAAGCAGTAAAGCCCAATACCCTACACCAGCAATCGCCAATATATTTGCCACTTAGAGCCCAGAACCCTAAAGCCCAAAAGCCCGAACACCTTACACCCGAAGCGAGCTCGAACGAGCTAAGGTCCTGGAGCTAGCCCAAGCTGGCCCTAACCAGAATCTTCAAACCATAGACCCGTGATGTGCAAGCTGAACAATTCGCTGAAGCCCTGACCTACAGCCATAGACCACATACCTGATTCGTGTGACAAAGACCTACAGTCCTCGAGCTTTGGGGTGGGAACACGATTGAGCTGAGAGCTTTGGGGTGGGAACACGATTGAGCTGAGGATCTGTTCCAAGCTTCGATGGTTCGCTGCCCAAACAGAGCTGCTCGTCGATGAGCAATCCGCTGCCTCGGCTGCTCAGCTTTATACTGTCGGACAAGAGCTGAAACTAGACTGCTAAGTCATCATGTGAAGCGAGATGCTCCAGTTCGGCCAGCTCTCTAACGAGATCGATGCCTTCAGCCGGAACTCCTGCCTCGTAAGGCACAACCCGTGCCGTATCAGCATCTAGCTCGTAGGCTACTGTCCCCACGTATGCCGAAGGTGGCTGGGGGGATCCAGAAACCAGGCCCATGCTCTGAGCGAGGTAGTCATCAACCTCGCAAGGCTGTCCATCCTCGTCCTCGGGCTCTGTCAAAGTGTCTTCCTCCTCTTCCTCCTCGCCTTCCTGCTGTTCCTCACCTTCCTCCTGTTCCTCTCCTTCCTCCTCTTCCTCACCTTCCTGCTCCTCATCTGCAACAGCCAAGGACCGGCGGCTGCGAACCTTGGGCGGCCAATACTTGGCGACTGCAGCGAAGATGGCCTTGAGGCGATGATCCTCGAATGATGGTTGGGTTCCATGTATTCAGTCTGCAACCCAACAACACCCTCAAAGCTAAGAATCACAACATAAGCAAAGCGGCCTTCCTCTTGGACCCGTCGTGTCGCCGATTGATGTAACTCATGAACATCTTCAAGCTGTGACTGGTGCAATGGATCATGCCGGGCTTAGGGGTGACCTCGATCTCCTCAAAGTATCGTGTAACCTGATGGCTGCCACGAAGAATATCTAAGAACAGTATAATGAATCGTGCACTGATATGAACTGAAATAGAGCATACGGCTTGGATGTAAACCAAGTAGCTTGCTCCTTCAGGTTCTGGACAGGCACGGTCTTCTGCGACTCGTTGTTAGGACAGTACACTTCTATCAAAGCCAGGAGAACTTTGTGGTTCAGCATGAGAGACCTCTTATTGATTTTTCCGACCTTGGAAGGATTCTCCCACTCCAACAAACTTCCCTTCTTCCTGGAAAGCTTGCGGATCCCACGGTTTTCTTCCCAGGCCTCCCAAAGGCCTGATAAATCAACATCCCTTCTGGGCCTGACCGCCACTCTGCGAGGCGGCGTCTGCGGTTCTTCTACCGCAACCAAAGCCATGGTTCAGTGTGGCTGAGAAAAAGCGCTCGAAGTCAGTTGTGCAAGAAGTACAGCAGTTGAAATTAGAGTAGAAGTACAACGATTGGAATTAGGGCAATAATTAGGGTACTGAGGGTACTGCTTGGAAGCTAAAGCAGCTATAATCAGCTAAAGTCCATCTGGGGGCTCCTCTAGATCCGGCCAAAAGCTTCAGAGCACCCAAGAGTTTTCATGCCATGCATACAACTGAAGCAATGAAGACACAGCTCGGACACAAGGGGCACCGGATCCAGGCTTGTCAGCCAACCACACATCACCTGCAGCAAGTCACTGACTATAAGGGAGGCTGTGCGAAGGTTCTGCAGGCCTCAGGCTCGTCCAGTTGGCTCCACCAAAATACCTGCAAGAATCGCTTGGTTGCTTTGATTTGCTAAGCCAAAGATTGCAACAAGTGAGGGGCACACGGGCACCCAGAGGGCAGCTGCAAATGAAGCCCTGCCACAAAACGTAGATTTTGGAGCGTGGGTTTCAGGGCTAAGGATTCAAGAAGTTCCGGATTTGCTGGCCTCGTCCATCTCCTTCGAGCCACCGAAGCCATCCGCCGAAGGGTCGCCGGGCCTGAGAGGACTAGTTTCAGACAGATATATCAGAGAGAGAGAGAGAGTGAGAGAGAGGGAGGGAGGGAGGGAGGAAGAGGTGAGACAGAGGGACAAAGAAAGACCCCACACATGCTCGGTTTTGGACCATGCCAAAGCCAGTCAAAGCCTGCGAAGGCAAAGAACCAATCGTGGGAATATAATTCTCGCGAAAAGCAGTGGCGTGGAGCAATGCATCATGCTTCATGCTCGAGGCTTGTTTCCCCGGCTCGCATCGTTGGCACCCGTTCAGCATCTACGGCTCACTTGGACCTCGAGGTTTCTTCGTGTTGGGGCCCTTCTCCTTGACGGGTGTCAAAGGTTCGCCCTGGAGTCCTGGGCAACATGAAATGGTTCCAAATCTCGCACGGCTTGAACCCCTGGAGACATGACTGGAACTGCAAGTGCATTCGGAGGCTCTAATCTTCTCTTGGGCCTGCCAAAACTGCTTGGCCAGCTCACGAACAGAGCCTCCTTCCTTGTAGTTCGCCACAATCGCCTCGATCTCGGCAGCACTGAGGATATCCTCGGAAAGATTTGGATCTTTCAAGGTTCTTCTTCCAAGCTATTAACACAATGGGGTCTCTGTGCTTTTAAGTGGCATGTGGCTTATCTGCCTCCGGCCACAGAACACCCTGCACCTCGTGGAAGAATGCCAAGGGCATGTCCTGGAGTCCTGGAAATTTGAAGGGTCCAGCATGAGAAAAGAACATGATTGCTACAACTCTTGTGAGAAATCTAGTCAGTCCTGCTGACTGCAACAAACGAAAGCTCTCCATGGGAACAGGCAGATGCTCCCCCATGCTTTCAGCTTATTCTGGATTGCTCTAAGTGATGTTCTTGTGCCAACAATCACTCGATCTCGAGCCCAACCGCTGATGAATTCGAGTTCCCTGCTTCTCACGATCAAGCAACTGTCTCAAACAAGAAGAAAGATGCAGCAGGGAGCTGGGCACACCTCGAGAGGGCCAGGGGCAGCCGGAAGAGAGCCCAGAAAGGGCTGCAACCGGCCACCAATCAAGAAACGCCTCCAAATTCGAAGTCCCGCCGACAAGCTCCCAATCCCGCCGACGGCCGGCAAAAGGCGATTTTGCCCGGCGCCGGCGTTTATTAAAGGCGTAAAGATTCCCCAGGTATATACATATCTATCTATCTATACATGTGCCGATGTGTTGGCTTGTGTCTGTGCAGAAGTTACGCCACGTCTGATCTGTACCTGTATTCATATCTCTATCTATACCGACGTCTACACATATTGATTGTGTGCGTGCATGCTATGTAGTATGTATGTATGTATGTATGTATGTATGTATGAAGGAATGGATGCATATGACACATCAAACAAGTGACGAAAGTCTGCCTGCGACATGGCTTTGAACTCAAAGGTTGTCTGAAGTCCATAGTCAGGGCATTCCGGAGCCGAAGAGAGAGAGCTGTTTCGCACGTGCTTTTTTATGTTAAAGCAGCACTTTCGATCTCAAACCCCTGAACCCAAAACCCCGAAACCTTAAACTAAGGCCCAGGCCCTCTCAGACCCTTCACAGTTGCTTCTACATCATGTGGGAGAGTGTCCAGAGACCGCCGGTCCCAGGTACCCCGTGGGCTATGGCAAGTGCTGCCGCGACCCAGATGCTCCGCTGCAAGGGTGTGTAATGGCTCGCTTGCCTCGCTTGCGACTGCGTGTTTTTTTGAGTTTTGATGGATTGGGGTTTAGGCAGATAAGACGACGATGGGAGGGAGAGGTTACCAGGAGCTAGCACAAAAGAAGTTCAAATCAGGGCAGCCCTTGGTACAAAGCCTTCATGGAGCCTGCTTGCTGGGACAAAGAGTTTGGCATCACCTTCGAGACTTGGTCTTTCCCTTTCGCAAAATTTCATCTTTGTGGTTTTCCCAAAGGGTCTATCCATACTACTATTTCGGAATTAGGTCCCCCAAGACCAATAGTAATTAGGCTGGTCTGTTGGGACCTAATTCCATGATTAGTGGTAGCGTATATGGACCATCATGGGATTGTATATGGAGATAAATCTTTCAGAACTTTGAGCATGTGGTGGGGAGACTTACGGACGAGACCACTAAGGAGAACTGCTGCGTGTTTGAGTATGGACCACGGCTTCGAGGCCTACCCTTCACCAGCTTTGCGGAACCGTCGGCCCTGGTACACTTCGATGTTCCGAAAACTGGCCGCCTTCGGTTGAGGTCGGGCTACGATGTCTTGCAGACAGAGGACCGAAGAATGGTTTGGAGGTGCTTGTGAGGATGCCTTTAGGTAGAGCCTGTGCTTAAACGATTCCGGAAGCCAGATGCTAGTGAGCACTGTAATCCCAAACGGACAGTTCCTACACCGGGTTAGTGTCAATGATAATGGCTTGAGGGCTTAGGGTTTAGACGGCAGTTCAAGAAGCTTTTCCTTAGTAGATGAGTGGATACACTTTACACTTTTTTGGATAAGACTACCCACTATACAACTAAAAGTGTACACTGTTGGGGGGCTTATGAACTCGGCCCTAAACCCTAAACCCTAAACCCTTCCGTCCCGAAGGAGTTTTCCAGTTTCTGGCCCGGTGGTTGGATCTTTGCACGCTTGTTGGCCGACCTTCATGGCAGCGCTGCATGCACTACTTCGGTTGATGATATAAATCCTGCATGACCCATAATATGGAATATACCATAATTACCATAGTTTAGGGTCCTTACGGTAATGCAGGATTTATATCATCAACCGTTAAGGCAAAGACTTCTAGTTTTTAGGGTTTAGCGCCTTCCCTAAGGGTAATACAGGGTGTAGGCTTAAGGGCCGTTGTGAAGGGTGTTCCTTGGATTACTATGTATTAGTGGGGAGTCTATGGTTTCCATATATGGTTCTGGCAATCCTTGGTGTGTGTATGTATTACTGTGTGCTACGTAGGATGTAGTTTAATTTTAGGGTTTAGGGTCTTGTTCAGCTTTGATGTTTAGGGTTTCGGACTCTGGTCTTGTGACGATGTGTTTCGTGTTGTGATGCGCATTACAGGTATGCTTTAAGTTCACAGGCTGCAATATCCAAACAAACGACATATATCCAAGTCAACACACAGACATACATATACATGGATAGATAGCTAGATCGATATATCGATTGATCGCGTAGTTCTGCAATGTTTTGTCCTTTCCTTTCTCAACTTTGCGACTGTAACCATGAAAAAAACAAGAGGCCGTCGACCCTAACCCCTAAACCTTAAACCCTAAACCCCTAAAGCCCTAAACCCGGCGAGCCCTTCCTCAGGTGCCGTGAGAGACGCTGAGGAATTCGGATGGGAGGAGGGCGCGGCGAAGCTTCGACCCATGGTCGGAGGAGTGGACTAATCCCTACGGGTCCATGTACCCACATAGCATATACTTTGGGCCCAATGTACCTATATAGGGAGTACTTTAAGGCCAATGTATATACTACATGAGTACATGGATCCTTAGGGGATATGACTAATTTGGGATGCGCTAGTTTAGAGTATCATATACCCCAAAGCCTCACTCTCACCCTAAAGCCCGAAACCTCTAAACCCTAAACCCTGAGCCCTGAACCCTAAAGCCCGAAACCCCTAAAACCCTTGTAAAACGCCTGCAGTCGAGCCTCGAGGAGACCTGCAAATCCTCGATGTCAGTTGCGGATTCTGGGCACTTGTTATGATCTGCATCATGAACGTTTAGGGTTTAGGGTCTAGGGGTGAAGTTGGCCTTGCTTGGTGACCATGTCTGAGCAAGTGTCTCTGTTCTGCCTGTTCCAACTGCATGTTTCATGCAGTCAAAGACACTTTCCGGTTTAGGGGGGCTGAAGGCTTTAGGGCCTTTAGAGGGGTTTAGGGTTTAATGGTTTGATTTTTGAATGGGAGCTTGTACTACAAAGCAAGCCCCAAAGTGCAAGCTTGAACCCTAAATCCAAACACTACTATAGACAATAAGTAAGGTTATAAGTACCTTGAGTAGGGTTATAAGTATAGGGACCCTACTTCTAACCCCAGTTACTAAATCCCATGATCCTTTAAGTAGACCCTAAACCCTAAACCCTATAGATCCCTTTAAGGAAAACCTATAGATCCCTATATAGATCCCTATAAGGACCCCTTTAAGGAACCCTAGTTCCAAGTCCCATGATCCTTTAAGTACTCTCAACCCTCAACCCTTATATTACCCCTATAGATCCCTTAAAAGGACCCTAAACCCCCAGTTCCTAAGTCCCATGATCCTTTAAGTACCCCCCAAACCCAGATAGAACCTTTAATAGTAACCCTTACAGATCCCTTAAAGGAGCCCTTTAGATCCCTTGAAGGAACCCTATAGATCCCTTTTAAAGGACCTTAAGGACAACCCAGGCCTGGGCCTGAGCTCTATCGCAGCAGCACGAGCTGGACACAACGTGACATCGACCGAGATCTCTCAGAAGGTCTGGCAAAAAGCTAGGACCCAGAGTAGGCCCTTATTCCCTTTTTAAGGGTTCAGGTTCCCTTATCAGTTTGTCAATCCAAAAAGGGCACCCTTTTTATTCCTAGGTTACTCTTGGGTCTAGGGCAAAGAGCATGTGTATGCGCGCGTGGATCATCATGTATGCACATATGATACGAGCTTCTATGTGCATAGATGTGCCTGGGTGCATGCATGCTATGCGTGCTTGTGGCATACTATGCCATGGTATGCTATCCCATGTTGTGCTGTTATCATGTGATGATATATTTTGTTATGCTATCGTTATGGGGTGTCAGTGTTTATTTTGGTATGTTATGTTCTGGTTTGCCACATGTCGTTACGTTAGGTGATGTTCTTTAATGCCGTATTAACGCGGTGATATCCTTTGACACATTATAGCTTGTTGTGCTATGTCATGTTGTGCTATGATATGTTATGTTTGTGTGTGTGTACATGAAGCACAGATGCATGCATGATCATTCATGCATTCATGCATGTACACATGCATGCACGTACACAGACACATATGCATGGATGCCTGAGTATGTGTTTCTGCATGCGTGCATGCTTGCTGAAGCCTTTTAATGTAGTTGTTGTAGCATGTAGTATGTGTACATACGTCTGTATGTGAGACAGAACTATAGAGATGCAATTATGTGTTTATGTAGTCGCACCGTTATGCTTCGGAAGTGTCCAGACAATGAGAGCATGCGTCTCTCTGTCTTTCTCTCTCTCTCTCTCCCTCTTCTGTGCGTGCGCATCTTTTGTCGTTGAACTTGTGCCTATAGAAGCTAGCGGCGCACAGCCGTGCCGATCATATTATCAAAGTTCCCCTACCAGTGTATTAAGTATAGTCGTATAGGGTATGGCAAATGGCTTGCAATGCTTAGGAATCCAGCCTCCTAGGATCCAAAGGTATGCCGCGCGAGCCCTAAACCCGAAGCTAGACCCTGAGAGGGCTACGTAGATTTTGGATCTTCGGGTTTCTGAGTTTGAGGGTTCTTCCGGTGTCGGGGGCTGTAGGGTTTTGCGTCAGGTGCTACGACTCCTCGGGCAAAATGCCCAGCGCAACGGCGTCCAGCTGCGCCTTTGGCGTTGGAATCTGCTGGCTGAGATTGTGCCAGCATTTCCGAAGCGGCTCCGCATCGATCTGGCACACTGTGAGGGTTTTGCCATCATTAAGAGGGTCTGCAACGAAGGAGACCCGAAACCTAACCCCTGACCCCTTGATTGCAGAAGCCACGGAGAGGTGGTGGGCGTGCATTGTCTTGGGGCATAAGTGTGGGGGACTCTCTCCTGGGACTCAGGGCTTATTAGGGTTTAGGGTGTAGTGTCGTGTAAGCAAGCCTTATTGCTAAGCCCTAAACCCATAGGCTTCATAGCAAGTACCCAGACGTTTTGGTATCCCCAGAGTAAGAAAAGAAACCTTCAGTCATAGTAGGGATCCTGTTATTTACTCTAGTTTAGGGCATACTCCTTAATTAAGGGGTATACCTTACATCTTAATAGAAATCCTACACTAGTTTAAGGTATCTGGGTTCTTTAAGGGATATGTGAAGGTCTGGGTATCACCTGTGCTTGCTGGACCTCGGCTGGCTGAATGCGAAAGACCGGGCAATGCAGCTGATGAATGGTCGGGGGATCTCTGTCTCCCTGGAGGAGGACTATTCTAACTGTGAAGCCCCCGAAATTATCCGTGTATCTACAAGGGTCATAAGAGGTGTTTAGGGAGTTTAGAGGTTCAGGGTTTAGGGTTCAGGCAGATGGGAACCTTGAGTTTTGGGGCTAAGGGTTCAGCGGGACTAGGCTTAGGACTTTCGAGTTTTCAATTAAGGTCTAGGGATCAGCGCTTGGGGTTAGGGGATGCTTCGGCCCTAAGGTTTTTTTTTTTTGCAGTGGATCGCAGTGTCGACAGACGCGTCCCAAAAATCATGCAATGAATTCCAGTGGACACGCAGGTGAGGCTCCCGCACATATTATGCGGCTATACAACCTGCGGTCATCGGCAGGAGCATCAGAGACTACCCTATCCTTCGGTGCCAGAACGAAGTAGCACCGATCCTAGGCGGCTCCACTGTCCGGTAACTCGCTTCATCCAGGGCCCAGCAGTGAAGCGCTAAGTCGACAGGTGGGTCTGACAGGAGGGTCAAGGGTGCCTCCTCAGCTAGGTAGTCTCGGAGCTCTGCTCGTGTGGGCTGTGCTGGTCCGGCCGTTGGCAGCACGGGGGCCGCGGCAGAGTAAACTTGCCAGTCACCGGCTCGCAAGCCTCGACGACGCTTGGTGTCCGCAGCCTCGACAGCCCGGACGGACGGCAGGTCCATCGGCGGGACGAGACTGCAGGTTCGTCGTAAGCACTTCTGTGACCCCTTCAGATGCCTCTGTAGCCGAGCGACAGAGTGGTAATGTCGCAGGCATACAAGGCACGTGGCATGGTAAGCATAGAGGCGTGAGGGGCTGAGGAGACCGTGTCGCCGAGCAACATGGGTGCTCCGGTGCTTTCGCAAGGAAAAGCGAGCTTCACAAATCGGACAGGCATAGGGCAGATCGTCCGAGGCCGGCAGTGCAACTGTAGCAGTGGGCCGCGCTGCACTCGCCTGATGGTCGTGCCAACGCTGCAGGTCTTGTAGGCACTGTTTGCCAGCAGCGTGGATCTGCCGCTTCCACCACGTGCGGTCATCAAGCATCGCGGCAATTAGTGCTCGAAGAGGACATGGAGCCTCCAGGAGGACACGGGCCGCAGGCCGGTAGAGGGCAATGTGCCTGATGTCGGGAATGAACTGCCCGAGCCACGAGTGATCCGCGTCGGCTTCCCACTGCAGTAACAAAAGTTGCCTGAGAGTGGCAGGTCCATGCTCCAAGATCCGCATAAGGAGCCCTGCTCTAGCTTTGGCAAGAGCAATGGGCGGGGAGTAGGCCTGTGCACAGTGGAGGACCGTGAAGGAGTGTGCTCGCCGGGGGGTAGGCGCTCGCGGTTGCAAGGACCGCCACAGTGCCGTGTAGTATCGCGCCCACAGTCTCCAGTGGCCGGGGACATGCAGAGCAATGGTGGCGGTGCTAAATGCAAACTTGGAGACAACCAGGGAGCGCAGAAGATGTCTCCTGATGGCGATGGGAATGCTGGGATTCCCAAAAAGAGGCCCACGCAAGGGCTTGAGGCTCCATGCGGCCTGCGAGTGCCGGAAATGAATTTCTGGCACGACAGTGGCAGTGCTGGTAACAATACCGCCAAGGTGTTTGTAGGCCTGTACGATGGGTAATCGGTGGGCAAGCCCGGAGATACCATCATCAACCTGGAGCCAGGAATCAGCACCACAAACCTGAACTCCAAGGCTTGTGTCAAAAGCGACCTGCGGGGGAAGGACCGCGGCAGTTTTGTCAGGCCCGAAGGCGAGCTGGATGCCGTTGGCGGTGGCATGGGTAACAAAGACTGACGTAGCCTGGCAGACCCTGGTGGTCAGAGCGGCACCTGTGCCGGCCTCATGCATGGCAACGAAATCGTCCGCCCATGAGGCGGGACCCAACACTTCGGGAGTATCTGCAGTATCCCAAAGGGGATCCGAGGCAGGCGTGGCGAGAGGGGTATGCAGCTGCTTGGCAACTAGGGCTGCCTGTACCGAGGCAATGTAGGCGCTAAAACTAACAGCAAAGAAAAGATCTGCTAGCGGGTCGCCTGGGCGTACGCCCGCAGACGTCGCAACAAGTGGCGTACTGCGGTCCAGCCTGAACCACGTACCTGTGAAGATTTCACGGGCGAGTGCAACCGCGTGGGCTGAGCAACCGCCATCTGCCAAGGAAGCAATTTGCTGCAGCAATGCACGGAGTTCGCCGTATGCAGTAGATGGTACGCCAAGCCGTTGAAACAAGGTCAGGATAACACGATCCTGAGCTGGATCACCGGTCAAGGTTTCTCTGAGCACCTGGTAGTACGCGGCACGGACATCGTAGAATACCAGTGCAGGGAGGCGTCCCTGGTGGTGCACGTGGCTCTGGAAGCACTTAACTGCAAGCGAGATGGTGTCGACGCCCACATGGCTACGAACACCGCCATGTAAGTCAGGGCAGGTCCGAAGGAGCGCCGGGGTGAGGGCAGCTCGTACACCTCTGTGAAAGAGTTTTCCAGGGACGCTGGAAAGTAAAATGCTGCGATGGCGATCGCAGCGAAAAACAGCAGCGGCCTTCTTCGCTAGCGTCATGAGGGCGCCCCCTTTGTATTCGATGGGCTCTCTCAGGGCGAGCGTGCTTTTCAGATGCAAGCTGAAGAAATGCCGAGCGGCGAGGCAAGGGAGGGTCTTCAGGAGTTCCCCGGTGATTCCGTCCGGGCCAGCTGCCTTGCCTCGGCGGAGTTGTAAGATATTGGCTTCGAGGGAAGCCAAATCAGGCAGGAGCTGCGGATCGAAGCTAGGTGTACACCGCGCCGCCCGGGCAGAATCGGCTTTGGCAGTAAGTTGCACATATTCAGCGGCAGTGACCTCGACACCGGACTCCTGGGCACCAAAGTGTTCCCGCCAGCGCTGTGCACGCTGTGCGCCGGTAGTAGCAAGGCTGCCATCTGCGAGCTCGACCGCAGGAAGAGGGGTGAACTTGGATCGGCGGGAGGCTGCAGCCTTGGGAAAGGCCCTTCGAACTCTATGGTACAGTTGCTTTGGGTGCGCTAGGTCTGAGAGCCGAACATCCTGGATCAAGGTCTCGAGATACCGGTTCCTGTCCGTGCGCACAGCGTGCCGGAGGAAACGGCCCGCGAAGTTGAACGAGGCCCAAGCCTGAGCGATGCTCCAGTCCATAGAGCTGAGCCAGTGTTCCGCGCGGTCCCGGGCAGCCGCAGTAAATGCACCGCCACAACGGTGGAGAAGGAAGCCGGCGAAGCCGATGAGGAGCTGTCGTCGTCGACATTCAGCACGCTCTGTGCGCAAGTATCTCTGGAGCCCCTTGCGGGCTCTCACCCATTGAAGGGTATCGGCAGTGAGATATGTCTGCCGGGGGGTCGAAGGCTGTGCTTGGTGAACTGCCGTGCCAGCCTGGATCCAGGCATGCGCGAGGGAAGCGAAGTGGGAATCAACATCCAGATCCCAGCTGGGCATGGGGTGTGCGGCGATGACAGTCTGAAACAAGCCCAAGTCCAGATTGGGGTCGAGGTCATTGGGACGGCAAGCTCGACGCCTGAAGCTGGGGTCGCTCGCACCAGTAGGCCGAACACAGAAGCTGCAGTAGAGCAGTGAAGGGAGGTGGTCGTGCCGTTTTTGGAGGGCCTCAAACTCAGTCCAAACATAAGTCGTGGGCTCAAAGTCAATCCATGACTGAGGCACGGCCACATAATCCAAACGATGTTTGAGCCCTGTAGGAGAGCTCCAAGTCCATGCAGGCCCGGATTGTACACTGTGGAAAGTCGCTGGCACACAAAGGGTGTGAGCGACGAGAAAGTCGTGAAAGGCAAGCCCCCCGGGATTTTCTGTCTCAGCGGCACAGTCATCGACAGCGGGGCTAACATGGCTTCCAATCCTGCCGTTGGCATCTGCAAGGAGAATGAGGGGCAGATGGGGGGAAAGGCGCTTGAGTTCTGCAGTGCGCTCTTGCCAGAAGGCCCTCGCGAGCCCCAAAGCCCCAGTAGGGTCCGAGGGAGCATGCGCAACCAGAATGACACAGTCGAACGAGGGCGCACTGAGGCTGACAAGCATATGTCGCGGAGAAAAGGCAACTACCGTACAATGCTCCGCCGCGAAGTACAAGGCCTCGGCCCCTTGCCGGGCATAAGGCAGCACCTTGCTCAGCCAAAGGGCACATCCATAGCAACCCCGATCATTGGCAGCGGCGTGGAGCATAATGTAAGTGGAGTCTGGGAGTACGGCAGTGTCTTGGAGCCGCGTTTCTTGCATGCCCAAGATGTGAACCCCATGGGCCTCACATTGACTGGTAATCAAGTGGCGTTTACCAGTAAGTCGGAGCCCCGCAGGACGTGCGGCAGCCTTCGGCGCAGGAAGTGAGGGGTCAAGGAGGGTCAGGACATTGTAGGTCATGCATCGCAACTCAAGGCGAGTAATTTGACCTGTTGTAACGGGGGCGGTGACGCCCGCACTGGGAGGGGGCCTTGCACTGGGGGCACGGGTTTGCAGGTATCTAGCAGTGGGCTCAAATGCAAAAGGCGTAGGGACATCGACTGCGCGTGCAAGAGTAAGCCAAGCCCAAGGGGCAAGAGGATGTGCAGCAAGGCGCGACGGCCAAGCGGGAAGGACCCGTTCATCCAACGGTTGCACCTGGTATCGGGCAAGCTTTGCACAGCTGTCACTGAGCTCATTTCCTAAATGACCTGCATGGCCCGGGATGTAGTCTCCTATCAAGTCGATACGTTGCTGAGCGCACTGGCGCAAAATGACAGCCAAGCGTCCAAGGCCAGGGTGGTCGTCCAATGAGGGCACAGTAGCAGGTTGGGTGCGCCCAAATGCTCCGAACCCTGCAGCTTGGCAATCAAAATGGAGACAGCATGGCAGCTGAAAAGAGGCTCCATACTCCACAAGCCATGCTAGAGCCCAGCATATACCTAATAATTCGCTCTGGAGCGGGGTGTCCTCGGTTTCTCCAAGGAAAAAGGGGGTGTCCGGAGGCACGGCTGTGGCATAAGCGGCTCCATGATAGTAGCTGAGGTCATCCGTGGCAATCCAAACACTGAATGCCCACCCGGCTGGGGCTGAGCACAGGGGTTCGCCCTGACCGTATGCAGAGCCGTCAGTAAAGACATCAACCCGACGGGCCTGGCACGTACTGGGGGCATCACGCCAGAGCCGTACGTTGAGCAGGGCAGTTCGCAGTGCAAGCGAAGCTTCAGGGAACGTCAGTATCGGCTGGAGATCGGCGTCTAGCCAATCATTGTCTGTGTTTGGCCTGTCAGGTGGCAGGAGGTCAGACAGGGTCAAACACTGGCTTTGGAAGTCTGAAACCGGAACAGTTTCTGCAAGGCTGAGCGGCAGTGCAGGAGTGGCTGGGGAAAAGGACCTCCTTGTGGCTGCATGGTCGAGGAGAGTATCAAGCAGGGTTGCTGTGAGGAAAGCCCACTCATCAGACCTAGCAGCGCTCTCCTCAAGTAGAGTGAAAAGGGTCTCAGAAGGCCATGGAAGACCCACTGCGGGCAACCGCATGGGCGCCCGACAAGGCGTGGGCAGGGGCCGAAGGTCCAGACAACCTGGGCGTGCGGCCGGGAGGTTTCCAACACGCGGGGTGGGAGGCGGCAGGACCGCGCCAAGTGGTTGGCAAAGCGCAGCAAAACAGGCAAATGCAAGGCGGCGACCGCCAGCAGCAGGCGGAAAGGGCTGATAGGTCGCGGCACGGCATCCAACGGAAGGCCGGGCAGAAGGGGCAGACCCAGCGGTATTACCAGCATGGGGCTGGCTTTGTGCTCTGGCGTTGTTGGAGGCCTGCACTGATGTAGTGTCCTGGCGGTCGGGCGGAGCTCCACCCGAACCGGCATCACCAGCAGGCGGATCCTCGTCCGGCCTGTGTGGGGCATCAGCAGGTAAGGGAGACGGGGCATCATCTGCAGCCGAAAGAGCGGGGGCAAATGAGACAGTCAGAACTTCGCCAGCAAAGACAGTTCTAATGTCACCCGTAGATGACCCCCAGCAATGACAACACGAAATCCTGTAGGGCAAAAGCCCTGCAGACGGTCCACAAGGCTGGCGGCATCATACTGACCAGCCAGGGCAGATGCTGCAACGAAGCCTAACAGGATTGGACGTAAGTCGAGGAGGAAGACGATGCGCTGCTCAGGCCCTTCCTCCCCGTGTACGGAGGTGTCGACTGCAATTAAGACGGACCGCACTAACAACCCGCGAGCCATAAAATTAAGGATATTAGGCCAAACCGGTTGAAGGTGGAGCGTCTCGCTAGAGACATCCAGGGCGGCGGCAATGTCTTGACGAAAGACGGATGCTCGCCCTCGGTCCAGGTTGTACAAGACGGGCTCGTGATCGGTCACGATCCAGGTGCGGTCTCCGTACTCCCCGGGGACATCTATCTCAGTGGTCCAGCCTGTACGCTGTTGCAGCAGATCATGCAGGGTAGAATGTACGAGAAGGGCATGATCCGGGCGGGCGATCACTATAAGATCTCCGGTGGACAAGTCAAGCTGTGCAGAAGATTCCCTTGCTGTAGACCCACGGGTTGACATCTGGGTTGCTGCTTGGCAGGCTGCCAAACACTTTAGTATCCCTGCCCACCCTTTTGGGCCTGCCACGCCCAACAATGGTTCCGGTTGGGTTTTCACTGTTGCCAGTTGGGCAACCATGCCAGGTCCTACAACTGCTTCTGCTGATCTTTGTGGACTTGCCCCTGCTGATGCAACTTGCCTCAAACTCCTCACCGAGCCAGGGAGCGGACATGCTTTATCAGAGCAAAGGGTGTCCAATCTGCGCAATGCCACCCTTGAGCTTGGCCTTGACTGGCGTTATTTCTCGCCTGATACACGCCTGCACCTCGCTGCGCCGGAGTTTGAAGTGTCCTCATCGGACGATGAAACCGACGTTCAAACCCGTCGTGCTTCTTTCGTCATATGTGCGCCTGAATACGCGCTAGAACAGCTTGTCGTTGAGGTGCGCTTCCCCATCACGGTTGAAGCCCTTCTTCCTATTTTGCGGCGCGCTCGCGACCCTGCCAAAGATGCCCGCTTCCCACATCTTGTGCCTGCGACACCACAGCCCGTTGATGGTACCGGTGTCCTGCTGGCGGCTCCGCATTGGAACGCCAACTGCCTACAGATATGTGTCGATGCGTTGCGTATCGATGGCCGATTGTATGCGGCTATCGCACCTCCATATGCCGACAGAGATACACTTGTGGATCTTGCTGGGGCACACGGCCTTGAGGTGACAGTCTATGTTGGTTGCCAGCAAACTCCTGTTGTGCCAGGCGTGCTCACACACTTAGTTGCCGGCGTCACTGTCACCGTGATCCCTGTTGCTGCCTCTCCTCCGCCTGTTGTGAGTTTGGACGCACTGCTCAGGAATGCAGGACAGTGGAGTTCTCGCTCCATGATTACGGAGCGTGCCGTAGACGGTATGTACTGTGTTGTGCACGACCGTCACTACCAGCCGTTCCGTGCAGATCCCACAAGGCCCACTCAGTACCGTCAGAGACTTGCAGACCTCCTCGGTGCCGACAGCCGCAATGTCGACATTGTTCCAGCGCACCCGCGCGTTGACGATTGTGCCATTGCCGGCTTTCTTTGCCGTACCGCTGTTGCGCTCACTGGACGGTTGGTGTCTCTGGCACATTCAAAACGACCGCCTTTACATGCCAGATCTGCTTCAGCACTTCAGGGCTTTGACACCCGCCGGCATGGATGTCCGCGTCGGCGGTGCACCTACACAAGGTCACCACCTGCTTACCCAGCCGGGTACTGTCCTCGAGCTAGACTATGTGTTAAGGGCCCCACCTACTCTGCCCATTCGACTAGGTGCGCCCACGCAGGACACCGCCCCCAGTGTACCTGTCCATGCGGACACCACTGATGTCACTGCGAGGAACCCTACTGCCCCCACCACGCTGCAAGGGGCGCCAAGTCCGCCCGATCCAGCACCAAGCGGACCGTTGCCGCCAGAACTACCAGGCCCACTCAGCACGGCTCCGGCCGACCCCTTTACGGCCATTTTCATCGTTTTTACGCCGGGCTACCTCCCCGAGCTCCTGGATGTTTCTCTCCAGGCGCCTTGCCCCGTCCAAGCTGCCTTGGAGACTGTCAATACTGCACGCGTCCCAGCCCGCAGGGCAAGCTTCCCGATCCTCGTCGAGGTGTATCCTCAGCCAGACCATTCATACGGCACTTTGCTTGCTCTTCCGGCGTGGCCTGTTGCCGAAGTTTTGGTCTACTTTGATCTTCGAGGTTTGGATGATCGCTTCTTCGCCCTCAATGTGCCCCGACGCATGGACTTTGCGTCTCTACTTGCTGCCGCGGATATCCCCGCAACCACTCCTGCGACAATTTATATCCGTGATATGCCTTGGCCCTTGGGCTATAAGGTTTACTGATATAAGCAGCCCTGTCTTTTGAATATCAAGGCTCCTACAAGGAAGAGGCAATGCGGCCCCCCTGTAATTTTTGCCGAACCCAAATAAAAGCCCATCGAAGCCCTATCCCTAGGGTTCCATGTGCCCACACAGTATACACTTTGGCCTTAAAGTAGTCCCTAGATACTGTAGCTACTGTAGGGCCAATGTATGTACTATTTGGGCACATGGACCCTTATATGGTCCCTAAACCGTAAACCCTAGGCTCTACTACATATTAAAGCCCAACAGGAGTGGCCAAGTGTAGAAAGTGTCTTGAGAAAGACTCTGGAAACACTGGGGAAACTTGGTGGCTGTCAGCTTCACGCGTTCATTGGGCGAACGAAGCTTGGCGTTCTTCTGGTTGGCTCTTAGGACTTTAATGGTTTGGGGTTTCTATATGAACTATAATACCAAGGCCAAAAGTTGAACTTTTAGCAGAGGTTCAGAAGTCGGCCAAGTTAGTAAATAGTTGGTTTTGATAAACTTAAAAGTGCCATAACCCCAATTCGGATCCGTGTTAGGATACTAAGTCAGCCAAGGAAATCTGGCGATGCGGTTGTGTTGGAGGCAGCTGAGGTGGAATTCGACACCAAGACCCGGGAGTTGCTGCGTGCCTTGGCTGGGCTGGGGTCGGGACGGTTGATGATATAAATCCTGCACTACCTTAAGGGCCCTAAACTATGGGAAATATGGTATATTCCCTATTATGGTTCATGCAGGATTTATATCATCAACCGGAGCACAACTGAATATGTGTTGAAAGTATTTCCCCCTTGTTCTTCCCCTCGAACATCGGATATGTTGAGGCTAACCCTAGCTCGCGATCAGATGCCTTGGATATGTTGAAAGTAACGTCTGAATCTGAACCGTCAATTACAGTAGTTGGTATGTTTCCCTCAATCACAATCAGGTGCCTTGGATGCTTTGGACGCTGTGTTTGGAACTTCTGCTGGTGTGAGCGCTGTCACGGTGAGTCCGCTGGGCTGGCTGGAGAACGTAGGATGGACGCCTCCCATTTGGCACCACCTCATCCTCTGGTAGAGTTTGGATTAATTAGAAGTTCACGATGTCGGACTTGGGGTATAGGGTAAGGTTTCCGGATACGCAAGAGGATGGGAAGAGCCAGCAGGAGAAAAGGAAGGGGTCCAAAACCCGCAACCTTTATCCCTAAACCCTAAGCACTTAGACCCTTAAGCCTCCTAGTAGTAGAGTAGGTAACCTTTAGCCTTTTTTGGCTAGTATAGTCCCTATAGAATCCCTATATACCCAAAGAAGCTAACCTTTAGTCCCCCATGATACCCGACAAGCAGGGCCTTACCCGAAACCTTAACCCCTAAACTCTACACTCTTACCCTAGGGATCAACATAGCCCAAAAGCCTTATTTAGTGGTATAGTCTTTGGGCCCAGATGCCTTAATATATGAGTCCTTAGATCCCTAAACCCTATAGATCTCTTTCAAGGACCCCTTATAGATCCCCTTTAAAGGACCCCTTATAGATCCCCTTTAAAGGACCCCTTATAGATCCCCTTTAAAGGACCCCTTATAGATCCCCATTAAAGGAACCCTTAGAGGCCTCCTAGGGTTAGGACCCCTCAGCCTTGAACCGTCAAAAAACCTGAGTGTCATCCTCTACGGATCCGAAGTCCTACGGTAGGTCGGAGGAACGTTTTTTGGGTTTAGGGGGTTTAGGGGTTTACGGGTTTAGGGTTTTAGGGGTTTTAGGGTTTAGGGGTTAAGGGTTTAGGGTTTTAGGGGTTTTAGGGTTTGGGGGTTAAGGGTTTAGAGGTTTAGGGTTTATCCATCCTAAACCCTACTTAAAGGATCATGGGACTTCGTAGCTAGGGTTATAGATAAGGTGACAAAACTTAAACTCACGCCCCAGTTATGATACTTAAAACCTTACATACTAAGTCCCATGATCCTCCAAGTAGGGTTCCGTGGTGTCAGCTGTCAGGGTTTCCGCTTCATTCACCCGAAAACCGAAAGCCTAAACTTTACACACTATAACTAGGTAGGGCTTTGGGACATTTTATATTTTCCCTAGTTGGGCTTAACAGCATCTTGGTTACTAATATTTTTCAAAGGCTCTAAAAGCCCCACCTAGATAACTTTAAGCCGGAGATCCAGTGGTTCGTCCATCTGCAATCGTGCTAAGAACGGAACCCTCAAGTATGAATCCTTTGGTTATAGGGTCCTTAAGGGAGGGTGGTTCAAGGGGGGAGGGTACAAGGGATCCTTAGGGAACCTAAAGGGAGCCTTAGGGAGCACTGGAGAGAACTAGAGATTAGTAGGTTACCTACCCCCCTTGGAGCCCCCTCCCATAAGGATACTATAATTTGGACAGCTAGCGCTCCTGGTGGCGGGCACATGTGGGCTTCTGGTGAATCGACCCCTCTCTCGTACAACGGACTATAGTAGTATAGTAGTAGGGATGCTACTCAGTATAGGGCTTAACAGTGGTCAATCAGGATCCACGTTAGTGTAGAGTCTGGGCTCTCTGGTAGCAAAATTGGTTCTGAAGATGTGGTTCTATTTGGAAAAGATGGGCATGCTTTGAGAATCCCCATGGATAACACATGGGTGGTTGTCAAAACTATGGTCCCTTATCGGGTCTTTATGATAATACGGCACTTAATATTTAAGGTACCCAAAACTTAGGACCATAATTTTGACAACTACCCACATATAACTTTATACAAATATCTACTTGCCAAGCCCCCAGACCCTCCAAGAAAGATGCTGGATCAACCCGAGACTTCAACCCATGGCTTACATGGGCTCATCGCTGTACCAGAAAGATTACCTTGAGGGTTTGTACTACGAGGGCTGCTACTGTTGATGGACAAAATCCTGCACGACCCTAAGGACTCTAAACTATGGGAACTATGGTATATTCCTTATTATGGGTAATGCAGGATTTTGTCCATCAACAGTATGAAGCTTAGGTTACCAGGTTTCGGGGCATGGCATAGAATTCGATGCTTGTTTTCGTAGCTTACCCTGAGGCTCCCCAACGGGTCTTGGGCTTTCTGGAGAAGGGTGTGGGCCTTGGGGTCTACGGTTTGGGATCTCACTACGAGGGTCCTGCAGCCTTAGGGTAGGGCGCAACCCTAGAATCCCAAAGCCCTTGCTCAAGCCCTGAAGACATGAAACCCACCGGAACACAACAGACTTTGGGTTTAGGGTGTTAGGGTTTAGGGGTTTAAGGGTTTAAGGGTTTCAGGGTTTAGGGGTAAGTTTACAAATTGGATCAACCCGGCAGACACATTCTCAGGATGATCATGTTCCAACACTACCACAAATGAAAAGCTCTCGATCAACAATGGTAAGCCCGCATATAACCTGCTTTCTGAAAACACTCTCAGGGGATGATACCACACACCCTGCTAAACCTATTGAACAAACAAGCTTCTGAAAGGGGTTCTAAACCCCAAACCCTATATACCTACTGAACGAACAAGCGCCCCTACATTATGCTCCAGGACCACTGACGACGACTCATCGGATCTCGACCGCTTCCTGCGAGAGTGAAGGGCTCTTGGATTCAGGGCTTCCAAACTCTAAGCTTCGAAAGCTTCGGCCAGTGACGGTGACAGCAAAAGCATGAACAAACATACTGTGGATGTGCAGGGATGCTGAAGTATTCAAAAGCAAGAGCCCTATGCCATGATTCCACAATTTGCGAAGCTCAAGTCGTCAAGGCAAAGGGGACTTCGGATTTATTCATCAACGACACTTTTACTGGCCTCTAGTCGTCCTTCACGGATGCCCAATCGGCTTCCAACAGCAGGCTGACAAAGAGAAGCTGCTGAATGTCTTGATCCTGCTGCCCCTGCTTTGGCACTAACCCTAAGGGTCCATGTACCCATATAGTAGATACATTGGCCTTAAAGCATTCCCTATATAGGTACAATTGGGCCTAAAGTATATGCCATATGGGTACATGGACCCTTGAACCCTAAACCCTAAACCCATATAGAGCCTTTATAGTACCCTTATAGAACCCTTATGGGAACCTTTAAAGTACCCTTATAGAACTTCGCCTAAACCCTGCTCTGAAGGCTAAACCAGGACTGGTGATTGTGGCTTGTGGCATCGGGAGTAGAGAATTCGATCAAGCCGACAGCAAGTTGCCCAGTTGAGGTTTGGGGTTTATGGGCTTCAGAGGACGGGAAAGTGGCAAGACAGGTACGGGTATGTTTACGGTCTGAGGTTTCGGGTTTAGGGGCAACACACGACAAAGCGCCAAGACGTATCAGGGTAGTTCTTCGAATAGGGGTCCATGTTAGGGTCCTTGTCAGAAGATTGGCCTACTCTCTTTTGCGGACCATGGAGTGGGTCCTAATTAACATAGATCGAGAGCTGCCTATGCCTAAGGGTCCATGCACCCATGTAGTAACGGCCCTAGAGTAGTCCCTATAATATAGGCACTTTACGGCCACAGATCTACTATCTGGGTTGCTGCGTTGCTTGCTTTCGGGATTGCAAGGAAGGAGTCCTTGACAGGGGCATCAAAGGATGTGCGTTGTTCAGCGACGATAAAAACATGCGGAGCCCCGCACGGTAAACCCAATCCTCCTTATCTCCGTTTGTCTGCGAAGCGTTGCACAAGTTGATCGATTGATGCTGGAATGTCCTTCGTGGCCCCCCTTGAATATGAGACAAGTGCAGTTGCAAATGCCCGGTTGAGGTTTCGATGTACCGGTTTTGATAAAGCGCGATGATGTAGTCGTGCGTCTAGTAGCGTACATGACAGGTTCGAGATGTCTCCCACGCCTCGTAGCGTTATTGTCACGTGTACGGAGAGGCCAATATCCCTCAACATCTCTTGATGAGGAGAATAATGTAGGAACCTGAGTAAGAAACCCTGGGCCTATAACCCCAAAATAGAAGGATTCATATAAGAATCCCTGATTTAAGGCCCAAGGTTTCTTAATCAGGTTCCTACACTAGATGAAGCAGTTTACATGATACAGGGTCTGATTCTATTTTCAGGCTACAGGCCTGGCATCTGGGTTACCGTCTCTCGAATTTGAAACTGCCCCTCGCAGACGCGTGCGGCCTTCATCCAGCAGTCCATGGAACAGGCCAGTGCTCGAGGAGTGGAGGGCCGAGTGACTGTCCAATCGCATCCAAAGTACCTGCATCGCACGAAGCAGAGTTTCGACATGAAGAACTGCAAATACCTACATGGCACAACATAGGGTGTCGATGTTAGGTTTTAAATTAAGGCTGAGACCTAAGCTGCAACTATTTGGGTACTAAAACCCTAAGGGATGGTACTATTGGGTTATGGCGCCATGTCTTGTTCAGCTTTGGGCTGCCGGGGGCTAAAGAAACCCGTAAACGACCCCTACAATTCCTCGAAACAGCCCTCAGGGAATCTGTGTAATGACACCAAACACATACTAGGGTGAGGGCGACGGGAGGGGAAAGGGATTGCACGTAAGGTTCTTCAGCACCAAGAAGTGGCCACTTATCTAAGTATATACATGTGTATGTACAGCGTGCATACGGGGAGGTCTTGATCAGGCTTTAGAATCGTCTTAGGGTTTAAGGGCAGCTGGGATGGCCTTGTGGCCAGCATTGCGTCGAGAGTGTTATAGATCTCAACCATATATGACGCGATAGACTGCTGAATCGTAACCCACTCCGACAGGACAAGGAATAAACACACCTCCGAGATACACCCCGAAGCCGCCTCCTAGAGCCTGTGAAACTCTGTGCATGCGTATGTATGTAGGTGTACATATACTGTACATATATATATATATATATATGCACTATATGTATACAACACTCAGAAAAACTGAACACGTGGTTCGTCAGATCCTGTATGAGACCATAAACCCCATGATATAGCTATAGTCTCCATTGTAGTTCCGTTTTTGGTTAACCAAAATCTCTATAGTAAGGTCCTAACCATAAAACTGGTTAACCAAACAAAAGGCACTACAATGGAGACTATACCCTAAGGGTCCAAATGCCAAAGGACCAAATAATTAGGTACTCGGTTTCAGGGCAGTAGTTATGTAGGGT